GCCTTGGAGAAACCTTTATCCCGGGGCTTCCTGATGATGCCAAGAGTTTAATTTCACGCGTCGTTGAGACTACACGTATATTTGGAGGTTGGTCTGTTAATTCTAGTGTTTCCACTATAGACCATTCATAGAGGTCACTAGCACTGAGCAATTACTTTCAAAAAAACGTTCTCCGTGCAAGATCATGAATCGATTTCTCTCTGTTTTACTATATGACTATGAACAAACACCTCTAAAAAAGTGACCCCCGTATGTATTATTTTGTTAATCACTTCACGGCAGCTCTAATTTTTCTTTTCTTCTTTGGTTCCCTTCAACTATTCATACAGGTACGACTCTGATTTTACTTTATCTTTACGGACTTATCTCTAGTCTCTTCTCATTCTTTCCCTGTTGATCCTTTAATTTTGCGTTTACTTGATTGGATTTTGCTAATTATCAATATTTGATCGGATGATTCAGCAGCTGAACCTATTATCTTATTTTGATGCCCGTTAATTGACTGTTGAAATGCCCAACAGATTTTCTAAGCCGAATCTGCGCATATAATTCCATATTAGTTCTACTTAGTCCTATTGTTCCTCTATTTACCTTCTCTAATGTTCCCACTAGAATCATTCATGCAGGTAGGGGTGGGCATCAGTTCAACTCGGTTGGAACCGAACCCAAATTGATAGATTTATTAGTTGATTATTTTGTGAAATAACAACTAAGGATAAGACTAAATAATATTTCAGTTATTTGGTTTTATCATCGAATTAATCGGTTTGGTTGATATTGGTCTCAGTTTTAATCAATTCCAGTCCTTAGTGACTTTTTTGGGTTTGGGCCTTCTGTTTTGTGGCCTGAATGTCCAACAATGTTTTATGATCCATTTCCTTCAATTTTGTCATCCAAATATCTAAAGCCATCACATTTCACAAATCCAAAAAAGAATCAAAAGTGGTTCAATCTTGTCCCAATTCCTACAACCCATGGCCCATCAAAGAGGGCCCATCGCCTTAGCCTCAAGGCTGTCAACACCAGATAATGTAGACACTATGTAAAACCAAAGAAAACCCATTTTAAAATCTAAGCAAGACTTTTCTATTTAAGAAAAAAAAAAAAATTATAAGCAAGACTACGGAAATCAAAAGACAAAATTTCATCCTTTTTGCATACCATATTCAGCTAAGGTCTGATCATCTTCAAGCTACTTGCCAGCAAAGGTGAGATGTTATTGATCCAGCGAGATTCTATGGTTACATCTTCGACCTTTTTGGGATGAAAGAGATTGATCTTTCGAGTTATAAGACTTGTAGAAAGATGGAGGTTATTAAAGAAAGAAATATAGAGAGAGAGTAAGCTATAGAGCTATAGAGAGTAAGATTAAGGGATAAAAAAGAAGAACAAGAATGCGAGAAGAAATAGAAGTATAGAACAAAAAGTCGAAAGGGACTAAAGAATGAGAAAAAAATTTGGAAGATTAAAGACTGGATTTGGTGGGGGTGAAACTTCTTTTATCTATGGGGAAGGGAGGTGGCAGATATGGGAAGGAAGGAATGAAAATTTTACGGAATGAAAATATATTTATAGGGGGTGATATAAGGATAGTTTTTTTATATTATTTTTTTATATAATTTTTACATGATATTAAATGAGTGAATATATTTAATATTATG